TCTCGTGCATCACTAACAAAGTAGCCGTTGGGGCTGTACGACCAATACCGATATTGATACCAGACGTGTCCGGTATTGCCAAACGGTCACATAACGGCTAGTTTTTCAAAGGGCCTATAAATACCCCTTAGCCTTCACCTTTGGAGGCTGCTGATTCTACTGACTCTCTCACGTGTTTTTGAGCCTTGAGAACACTCTCCAACTCTCTCTTAGTGAGTGGTTGATTCAATCTTGCAAAATCCATCTTGTGGGTTAATAGAGATTTAAATTTGAGGGCAAACCACCCTTGAGCACTTGTGCATATTGTTGATCTTATGATTTGCATTTGTTACTCTTGGACTCTTCGGTCCTAGATGGCTAGGCATCGCCAGAGGGCACCCGAGAGATTGTGGTGTGCCTCGAAAAGTTTGTAATGGTTCGATTCCACCGTCGCAAGAGAAGGAATCAAGCTAGTAGAAGGAGGAAAAGGAGTTGGAAAAGACTCTGGCTAGAGTGACCTTCGTGGTCCTCTAGAGTTGACCTTCGCTGGGTCGCTCGCAGCCCTCTCAACGGAGAGGTCTCGACAGAGGCCAAACTTTGGTAAAACATATCGTGTGTCTCCATCTCTCTCTTTACATTTGTCATTCATGATCTTGTGTATTGCTTGAGCTTGTCTACAGGTTACCTAAAGGTATCTGCAACTAAGTGAAAAGAAGAGATCGAAAGGGGAGAAGAGGGGAGCTGACTTGCATAGCCCGTGTATATCGGACGCGTCTGGTATTTCGTATACATATTCAATATACCTTGTTTACCCTGTTGGCTTACTTGTGAGGGTTTATTTCTCTGATTAGGAGTTTCCAAGTGTTTAGAAAGTCCAACTCTAATTATTTTCGCATTTTAAAGGGTTGAATTTTTAAAAACGTCTATTCACCCCCTCTAGGCGGCATCCTCGGTCCTTTCAGTCTTGTCTAGTGGTTAGTGATGCTCTTTAGTTAGTCTTTAAGAGCTCACTAACTTAGTGATAGTGACATAGCCTCTTGTATGTGAAATAGAGATCATAACAACTAGAATTGTGGATATGAGGCTTGTATTTTTAGTAGACTAGCGCAACACTCGCTCACCATTTAATTGACTAACCACTTGGCTTAAGTGTTGTTGTAGATTTTTTAATAGGCTATTCAACCTCCTCTAGCCAATAGGACATTTCATGAACCTTATCGGCCTTCCTTTGTAGTGGGTCAAGAGGCTGATCACCTTGGGCGAAAGGGTAAATCATGGCTCATGGTGAAAGTGTACAACCTCTGCAGAGTGTAAAACTGGTATATCAGCCGTGCTCACGGTCACGAGCGGCCTTGAAACTCTTACAGAATAGATGATCATTAATGGTTAATTGTTTATGCTATTCATTATTCTTGTTTACCTGATCATGTGTTTATATAGGCTTATGATAAACTTGTTGCTACTTAATTGCTTAAAATTATGACTCACTAAAAGCTAATCGTAGTAAACCAGTGTCAACCTTTTGAGCATCATGAACCCCATGTTATATTGCTGAGTACGATATATACTTACGCTTGCTTTACTTTTCAATACTTTCAGCCTGTTCGCTTGTTGGTTTCAGCCAGCCCAAATCAGTCAGCCAATAGTGTTTTCCTCTCACAACGAACCAGCACCAGCCAGTCCAAATCAGCCTAGAAACCAACCAGCGAACAAGCCGTTTAAAAAAATCCTAGATGGGTACCAGATTGCTAGATTTTGGAGAAATTAGGCTTGTGATCAATGAGTCAGTTGTCTCTGTAGAGTGGAGTTTTTACCCGAAGATCGGAGTTGTCTATTCGTTGTTTGTGCCTAAGGTTATCTTTCTTATACTAAATGCGTTATATATTAAGCATTGACTTTTGATATTACCTTTATTTGTAGCCATATGTGTGATTTGACTTTCTAGGCTCATATATAGTGTGTATCTGGTTTTATCCTTTAAAACCAGGTTCTACAGCAAATAGAATCTTTCGATCCTGAGTAACAATCCTGATCCGAATAGAAATGAATAAGAATAAAAATATATATTTGTATGAGACAATTTTAGCCCATTCGTTTTCGTCCGTTTATTTTTTCGTCCACCTCTCCTTAACTAACACACCACGAATGTAAAAAATTATCCTCACTCGTTTGTGTATAGCCCTCCTAATTTATATATGACATACATAGAGGTTCTTAGGTAATATGGATAGCTAGGAATTATAGTCCTAATTAAATAAATTCTTCCAATTTTGAGTAACAATCCTAATCCGAAAAGAAGAGAATTGGATAGCTAGAAATTCTAATCCAAATAGAATCTTCCGATCCTGAGTAACAATCCTGATCTGAATAAAAAAGAATAAGAATAGAAATATATATTTGTATCTGTATCTTTAATAATAATTAATAATCGTATTACATGTGATTTCTTGGTCTCTATCCGAACATACGCACCAGTCGTTCTCAGTTTTTTTTAATTATATGTTGGGCCTACAAGACAGTCTGCGCAGCGCGACGCGACTCGGCAAGCGGTCTGGAACATTCTAGAGGCCTGGCCTTTGGTAGTTTGGTGTATACGGGCGGCAGATACGTTGACCACCAGGCAGCGTATATCTGTCGGCCGCAAGCTGTTGAACCAAAATATACATACATATGGCGTCAAAAAAAAAATACATACATATTTTGGGTTTGCTTCACGTTATTATGCAATGAAACTCCATGTTGCCAAGTCCAAGTGTCGTGGACCGCATGGAAGGAGAGCCATTGAGTTCGGTCCTAGATGCAATCACCACGTACGTGCGGCCAGAAAACATCTCGGCAGTATAAAAAAAACATATTGGCTAATTGGCAAGTCGAGTCCGTTTTTTATCGAAAAAAAGTGAGTTTTCTTGAAGCGTTATCGCAAGGGATAATTGTTGCACGTAGATAAGGACGTTCCTTTCCATGCATGCGAAGAAAGGAACCGGCTCCGAATATCTCTGAGGCCTTAACAAATTTTAGGCATTTATTAATATTTTTTATATGCATCACGGAATTGTACTTTAGCTTATTGCATTTGTTCATGAATAAGAGTTAAAAACACAATTCTTTTAGAAGCAAACAAACATTACAAAGCTTTTGTCAAGTATTCATCCTGAATGAAAGTGCGATAGTACGTGCATATTTGATAGTAATAATAATTAACCAAAGGCTCAGCCAAGCTGCGAGCCACAATAATATGTACAAACTCCAGCTGTCCAGCAAGGTATCAGACCACACGTGTGATTGATCCGGGTCCCAACCAAATCAGGATGGAAACGGATCGAATACACATGGAATCGAATTCGAATGTCACCTTTTACCACGTTTTAAATCGAATTCGGATACAAATACGAATATTAGCGGATACGAATACAAAACGGATGGTTCGAAATCGGATATTTACTTAGTTTACCGTGAAGTGAATATGTCTAAATTCAACTTAGACTACAATTTCAGGTTAGAAGATAATAAAAGTGAACTAAATTGAAGTACGCACCTAATAATCTCCTAGATAGAAGTGACTAAAACAAATAACCATTTTGCTTTATCAATATTTTTGGAATTACAAAATTACTACACACGTAGAGGTTAAATTATTTGTGTATATAACATAGACAAGGATAGCTCATTAAAATAATATAGTTATTAATAAATATTTAATAATTAAAAATATAAATTAACTAATCAATATTATATTTATATAAGTATATAAATATTTATCATAAATATAAATTATATAAAATAATTTATACCAACAAATAAATAAACTAAAGTATTAGAAAAATACTAAAATTAATATAATCTTTATGTATCCTTAATAATTTTAAATTAATACTAAATTTATTTATAGATATACTATCAAATGGTTCTAATGCATCATTAGTAACAATAAAATTAAATAATTGGTTACTCATTATGAAGAGAACTTTTAAATAGGTTCATGCTACCTTGGTTCTTTATGGATACGAATACTGCCGGATATTATCGAATACGGATCTGGAATCGAATAGAGAAAATACTGAAAAACGAATTCATATATATCCATTTAGTTACCAAATTAGAAACGGATACGAATACGGATATCACAAGTTTTAGCGGATACGGATAATTCAGATATCCATTTCCATTTTCCATCCTTACAACCAAGGCCTAATTTCGTAAGTAACATCTTAGAGTCGCCGCAATAGTAACAAAGAAATGTAATCCTTTCGGTGTTACATAAATAGAAACATCATTGTCTCAAAGCACAATATCTTCGAACTCGCCAAGTGAGCAAATCCACCATGAAATGTAATGTGGGAAGAATAGGACTGGTGGTCTAGTCAAACTAATACACAAAGCCAATGCAATTGTGTAACAAAGCTCAATGTACAAACTTCAAGGGCTTGTTCAGTAAAGCTTGCTACAGCTGAGGTAGCCAAGGAACAATCTCCTGTAGATGCCAGCAGAACAAGCTTGCAGCTGCAGCCGTTCCGGCTGCAATTAATCACTACCGAGACCCCCAAGTTGCCCAGCAAGTAGATTAAGCCAACATAGATACTATATTATCTATACTCCACTTATTTACCTATTTCATGCAGAAATTTATGTAAAACGCTACTCTAGGACGAACTATGCAATGGTACTCAATCCAGTTATTATGAATATCTCTATCTGGCATGCAGAATACTGACAATGCGCCATACCTAATCCTGGAGTCCCTACCAAACCGCCATAGATGCTGCTGCCTATGATTTTGTTCTCTCCTTCCCCCCCTTTCCAGCAAACTTTTATCCACTAACAATCATGAGAATAGCACTCCGTTTAACAGATACTATGCTTCTACCAAGTCTACACGCCTCCCAATTTGTGAGTCATCAGCTAGCAACAATAGCAAATTACAGTGCATATAAAGTTGGTAGCTCATTTATGGGAGGTTGACATAGATCTTTTCTCAATCTATACTTGTCTACGTTTTGTATGTTAATCGATCGTCAAGCAGCTTATTCATCAACAGCACTATTAGAAACGTCTGGGGGCCCACTGGAAGAGCATCTGCTTGAACTACTGCTTTCAGTGAGAGTGAAACCATTAATTTGCTTTATGCAATACTTCTTTGTTTTCAAATCCGAAGAGGAATCCTGTGACAATGACAAACATCGATTATAACTTAGCTTGCTTTTATATCTAATCATAATTTGCACAAAAGGATTTACCAACTGAAAAATGACCCTTACATTGTTAGCAATCTCTGCGTGTGATTGACATGAAGAACCAGGAGTCTTCAATTCCAGATCAGTAGCAATATCACCAACATCACTGCTTCTCACTCCGCAGCTTGGTTGCTGCAATGTAGATGACTTGCTTCTACAGCCTTGTGCTGGAGAGTTAGACCTATGACTACTTGAATGGGCAACTGGAGTATTAAGTTGGTTAGATGGCTGATCAGTGGGAGGATGGCAGGGTTGTGTATATGCCATGTAAGGGATGCATGCATTTGGGATGGTTCCAGAAGTTTGACTGTGGAAGAAGGGGTATGTTTGCAACTGCGGATGCATGGGTACAGCACCAGAGGGTATGGGAACTGGGACTGGGTAGGGATATGCTGGAGGTGGCCCCATGACAACAGAAGGCTCCATTCCAGCCCATGGGTATAGCACCCGCATTCGTTGCTGATACTGGTTATTCAAATTATCAACCTCAGATTTCAGTGAAGCTTTCTCATCTCTAAGCTCATTCTTTTCTTGTGTTAACTACAAGCACCAGTAAAAATGTGTATCAGGTGTCAGAAATTTTCTGTGGTTGATCTGTTTCTTTGTACTAATATTTACCTCACACGCTTCTTCGGAAAGTGACGTGTATTCAGCTTTCAGCTTGTTCACCTGAGTAGTCAAATCTTTCAGCATCTGGATTGTGTCACCAAGTATAGTTGCCTTATCGTTCCTGGGACGGTCTGGATCTGGATATTTGCGCATGACAAAATTATTGAGCCAACTCTACCACTTTAAGAATCAAGTAAATGGAGCTAGTATAAGTAGCACATACAACTTTTGAACATTGTTTAGTTTTGATTATGTATTAACTATCAAAGCTACTCCCTCCATTCCAAATTATAAGTCGTTTTGACTTTTTTGGTACATCCATTTTGCTATGCATCTAGATATAATAATATCATGTCTAGATACATAGCACAATGAATTAATCGAAAAAGTCAAAGCGAATTATAATTTGGAACGGAGGGTGTACAACATATTTTCTTAGTTTTAAGACAAGTAACACATTCATTTGCAGGACATCAACCACAAGGTCCCAGACTAGTTTGCAGTGATTAACCTTTCTAAATTGCAGGTGCCACCAGTCTGCATGTGGACAATTACTGACTAATAAACACTAAAAATCAAGGGCACCTATACACAGGCTAAGCCAAGAAGTGGAGACCTTCCAACAGCTCAAGAAAGTGACTTCAATCCTTTTCCAAGATTTTGGATGCATTATTTCATAATTTTTGTTATTGGTTATTTGAAAATAGCCTACCCCAACTTGCTTGGGACTGAAAGGCTATGTTGTTGTTTTGTTGTTGTTGTATTGGTTATTTGAAAATAGCTACATAAAAGGCTCATAACAGGGCCTTTGTTAGGTCTAGTGGATGGAGAAGCAAAAAGACTATAGAAGCCAGGACTTTGTCCCAAATGTCCTAAACTGATGCTGAACAGGTCAAAACTGACTAGTATAGAGGGCCGCTTCTAAAATGCAGTAAATGAACTTATCACCCTGTGATTCACTGCATAACTGCATAAGATCTATGCATGTATGTACGTACAAGTTTCATCTGCAGATCAGTTCATTAAAGTATACTGTCAATACATAGTTTCACTACTAACACACAAATATGGTCAATGAAAGGTAAAAAGCAAATGTAAGTTCCTTGTGCATTGTTTGAAGAGCATGCCCCAATGAGTAGGAGGGCGCCGGATGAAACTAGGAGATTATGATTTAGTCAGAATGGCTTTTGTGACAATAGTAGGTGACAATATGAAAACGTAATTGATAGCAAACAATCATACAGATTGTGTCAAAAGCACCTAGCCAAGCATGGAGCTGGTCAATGGTTTGATCTTGCAACCAGGAGTAGCGGATCATCCGCTGGAAGCTCACAAAATATGGCAACGCAGTAGAAAATCTGCATATAATGCCTTCTTTTTAGAAGGGTTCGCTCAGTGCCTTGGAAAAGGATTTGGAAAACTTGGGCCCCCCTACGGTGCAAAATTTTCATTTGGCTTGCGGTGAAAAATCGATGCTGGACTGCTGATCGCCTTGCCAAGCGTGGTCTTCCTCACTCGGCCGTCTGCCCATTGTGATCAAGCTGAAGAATCCATCCAACACCTCCTTGTGTCATGTGTTTGTGCCCGCCATGTCTGGATCGTGGTTCTTCAGAAGTTGGGATTCATCCTAAGGGCGCCTCAGGCCAACACCAATAGTTTTTCAAGTTGGTGGTGCCAAGCAATAAAAATTTGCCAAAGGAAATCAGGAAAGGCCTCAATTCTCTCATCATCCTGATGGCATGGGAAATATGGAAGCACCAGAATGAATGTATTTCTAATGGCGTGACAATCCTACAGGCTACAGGTAGTGGCAGATGAGTGTGTCCTCTGGTGCTCAGCTGGAGCTAAAGATCTCCAAGAGCTCCTGGTCAGAGCTTTTACAGGATGCCTGCATTTTTAATTTTGGGGGAGCTGGTCGTCTTTTTTCAGTTTTTTGTCTGTGGCTTCCATCTTCTTTTCTTTTAGAGTTTTGTGTGTGTCTTCGAGTGGGAGGACTTCTCCTTTTCACCCATGTATTTTTCTCTTCTCTCTTATTAATGAAATGATACACAAATCTTTTGTTTGTTCAAGAAAAAAAAGCATCAGACTTTCAAGTAGTAGGACAGCAGAACAAAAGAAATCCTAAACAAATGTCAAAAATCATGCGTTGAGTAGGACATATAGGAGATAACCAAACATGCACAGATACAAAGCACTTGCGGTACTGTTTATACAGTTACTATGCACATATCTGCAGTACAGACACCATGTGTGAAGATTACCAGTTACTGATAACTCATTTTTTGGTTCGAACATCAGGTCTGACAAGGCTAACATGATATGAGCTCCATGATTTAACCTTTTAAAATAATATGTTTCTTTTTGTAACTCATAGGAGCAAAGAGACCCAAGAAAATCCTTGAAAACTACATCATACCAAGTGCATTTCCCAAGTCCTGGAACTGCTCGTTTAATTTATCTCTTCGCATCTTCTCACGATCAGCCTTTTGTACTTTGCGCGCAGAAGTTGAACCCTGGGCTTTACACTCTGCCCTTTGACTTGATGAAAGAAGGGACACTAATTAGAGCAAGTTTCAGGTCTGATCATAAATTATTTTGTACAAAATCACAAGCAAGGTGGTCCATGTTAGAATTCCAGTGGTTATCACACTTGATTTTAATCAGGGTCGAACCCAACAAAAGACATGGGTGTACACATGTACACCCGATAAAAGGAAAATCGAAGTTAGTAGGCGGAATACATGTATACACTTGTAATTAGATCAGATCCGAATACAAATAGCCAAATAGCTCAAGTTAGATCAGATCCGAATACAACTACCCAAATAGCTCAAGTTAGGGTTCGGGTGCTCAATCTTGCACAGCAGGAAGGAAAGAGAAGGGGCGGGCATACCTGCCGTGGTGAGTTCCGGTCGCCGGCAAAGGCCCCGACGAAGACATGGGCAGCAGGGGGGGCGTAGGGCGGCGGTCGCCCTAGTTCTCGCGCGCGCGAGGTGAACGGGAGAAGAGAAACAGCAGACTGGTGTGAACGCAAGGGCGCTGAGCGCAGTTCATCCGAGGCTGTTTACGGCTACGCGCTACTGGGCCACTTTCTCTAACGAACGAGCTAGTCAGCAGACTGGGCCGCATAAACATTGGGCTTCGTTCTTTCGCAAAATTCCCCGGCCTGCCGCCCTACTCCATCCTCGAGTTGAGTTGTGCGCCGCCCTTCTCCATCGTCGCCGTCCCGCCGCCGCCTTCTCCATTACAATTTCCGACACGCGGCCCTCTTCCATCCTCTCCGTCCTCGCCCGCTCGCGCGGCACCCCCCGCCTGCCTCCGGTTCCTCCTCTCGAGGGAAGGTGGCGGCGCCCGAGAGGGCGCGGAGCGTCTCCGAGCGGCTCAGGTCGGCCGGCGCCGAGTTCTCCGCCGGCTTTGTGTGTGCCTGAGTTGTTCCTGGAAGCAGACTCCCAATTGAAGCGTGGTCAAATAAAGTTGTTCCAACCCGGGCCTTGAACCCTCGGCTCCGGTATGGGTTGTTAAGGCGTTTAGATTGGGGGCTCTAGGCGTGGATTTTCACCAATGGCAATCGAGTGCCTCGTGCTAGGTACGCGGCAGTGCGCTCCTCTCTTCACCCTCCTTCGAACGCAATGCTCGGTTACAACCACACTAACGCTGGTGATTGCAGGGGCGGGGCAGGAGGTGGGGAAGAGCTGCGTGGTGGTGACCATCGGCGGGAAGCGCGTCATGTTCGACTGCGGCATGCACATGGGTTACCACGACCACCGCCATTACCCGGACTTTGCGCGCGCGCTCACTGCCTGGGGAGCGCCCGACTTCACCACCGCCATCTCCTGCGTTGTCATCACGCATTTGTGCGTTGCAGATAAACAATTTTACCCTTTCCTCTTTTTCTTTTTATATACTGGCAATTTTCTTCAGATTCTTGTGGATTGGTTGTGGGCTGAGGAAGCTTGTTCTGTGCAGCCACTTGGATCATATCGGGGCGCTGCCCTACTTCACCGAGGTCTGCGGGTACCACGGCCCCATCTACATGACGGTGAGCTATGAACACATGATTATTGTTTGTGTTGCTAGCTAAATGCCCGTGTGTTACTATGGCCAACGAAAATTGTATTAACAAAAGTCGCTTCATGAGAATTAAACTGTTAATTGGAAAAAAAAAATTAACCTTTTGTTATATAAAAACTTCATAATTATTTTCATGGTAACAAAAACCATAAGTTCCTTGCCAATAGGAAATACAATTAATATTAAAACACAAAAATCTAGCATCATGGTGAGTATTGTTCAAAATTGATCCAGAAAGCATCGCAAGCCATAGAAACCATAAATCTGGGTTAAATTAAAGCCATCATAGTAGAACGAACCTTGGGTTTGGCAAATACATGTCTCTTAGATTGACATCAGCTGTAAGTGTAGAAATGCAATATGCAAGCATATCACACCTTGCAATATCTGAGTAACTTGCTGGAGCACATTGAAATTGACTGAAACATACTTGGACATCTTTTCTTTTCACGACGCAGAATGATGCAAACCTGCTGCGCAAGATTGAGTAGTTATTCTTCCAAGATCAGTATATATATGGTACATTAAAACTGATGCACCAAGCTAGTTTCGGACTGGTGCTGATGTTGAAGTCTGACAGAGTAGCAGTTAGTGTTTACTGAAAAACTAATTGAAAGCAGCAAGCACATGAATAATATACTGAGTAAGGCATGCTGAAGTTTCAATGATCCAGTTAAGACTGAATGGTGTTCAATTGCAATGACTTTATTCTTAAACTGGAATGATACATTCAAACAATCACTCAAAACGTACAAATGTGTGATATCAAAACGCAGTTACAGATTCACCTGAGGAATCATATGGCTAGCATTGTCTTAGCAACGTGGATACATCATTTGGGCTGGATAGTAAGGGTAGAGTACAGCCCCAGTAGATGGTCCTGAAAGATTATGATGTTGATAGAAGTAAGCAGGTAACTACTAACTACTTCTGTGTTCAAGTATCTGGGAAGTGATGTATTTTTTTTATTACCAATTGAATAGAACTGACTGCAGTAGAAATTAATCAAGGAAGAATGCATCAACCCCCTGGCACCACGCAAATATTTCTCTGACCAAGCAACCGATACCTACTTTCAGGAAGAGAAGCTTGGGAATCGTATTTGTATATCTCCATCTACATATCTAAGAATATGTCCAGAACCATGTATTTCAAGAACTATAGTATATATCTGCATCTACATATATGAATATATGAGGGACCAAATTTTTCATAACCATGATTATCATGAAGCAGTTTTGATGCGGTTGAACTTAATCCATAGAAAAAACTAAAACTTTTGCACCTGATCGTCTTTTAAATTGGCTAAACATGTTCTACACAACATGTGAAATCAATTAAAGGCAGAGCAATCTGGAAAAAACATATCTCAAACCAACTCTAATTTTGGCACAGATATCCATGGTGAAAATATTGAAGGTAACATGTATCAACACATATGATTTTATCCCATTTGCTAAAAAGTATCCTCAGTGCTCTTCTGCTAACACCACAAATATAATTCTGCAGTTTCTAGCTGTGCCACTTGTACACAACTGAAAGCATTGAGTCATAGCGATAACTAGGACTAAAATCAGAAGGGAAAACATGCTTTTGTAGACACAATTGTGCATCCAAAGGCCTTGTTTGTCATCATATGGACGTGGGGAATAAATCAAACCCAATGAAAATAAAAACAGATGTATCATATGGAATAAAAGCAAACTATTATTAGCGGGCCAGGAAAACAAAGAAGAAAACACATCTATGGCCTTCCATTGCAGAGAAATGGTGGTCTCTCTGATCTGCCGTTGCCCTAATAGGGTAAAAACCCATCAGGTTTCGGGTGCCCGTTGCTATTTCAGTGCGGTAGAGGTGGAAAAAAACTGGATGCTGATAAAAAACCAGAGCAGGTGGGGTGATTGCTTGGGCAATAAAGTGCGACGGTGGGCGAAGTGGGGTGGGACCTGAGTTGCTGCATACTTTTTAAGTAGTAGAGATATAGAATGTGCCTATTGTTCTCTAAACTTGGCTTCAAGTGTATCCTGGATTGATTGGGTTGTTTAAAGTTTGGATTGTACTGCTTCTGATCCAAGAAAGTATGCTTGGGTGAATGGTCTTGCATTATTAGCTTATATGCTTGGGTGGTTGTCTTCCTTGGTCTCCCCACTTCTTATATGAAGCATCTTTATGTCGCGATGATTGATGGTCACTCCATAACTTATGTCATGGTACCTCAAACAGTATCCAACAAAGGCTTTAGCTCCATTTATGCTTGAGGACTATCGGAAAGTAACAATGGATCAGAGAGGGGAGGAAGAGCAATATAGCTATGAAGATATTCTTAGGTGTATGAAGAAAGGTAATCTTAGTTCAGTTTGGAACTTCTAGTACCTGTCCGCAGAAGTAAGCTTGTATCATAATCCTCTTTACTTGTAATACTTGACCTTTCAGTCATACCAATGGACTTGAAGCAGACTGTTCAAGTAGATAAAGACCTAGTGATCCGTGCCTATTATGCTGGACATGTAAGTTTCTTTGACTGTTGTTCATTCAACACTCTACTCAGTGTTCTTTAAGAAGTCAAGTATTGATTTAGTTCTCTACTTTCTAATCTAGTAAAACCGTTGCCAAACTCAAGGTTATAGGGGCTGCCATGATTTATGCAAAAGTTGGGGATGCTGCTATGGTATACACCGGAGATTACAATATGACACCAGATAGACATCTTGGAGCCGCACAAATTGATCTCCTGAAGTTGGATCTTTTGATAACAGAGTATGGTCTAACCTCAAACTCTAAACATAATTTTCTGTTTTGTGGTTGCCTTTACTTGGATTTGTAACCAAGTGTTGTTGTGATTTATGCTACATTATATCCATATGTTATTTCTTATGTCTTCACACCACAGGTTTTTATGGGGTGGTGGACCCCGACTATGTAGATGGTAGTCATCATAATCGGTAGAGGGGCGAGCATGTTCACCTTGGCGCCCTATATTTGGGAAGAGAGGGAGGGAGGGTATTTTGTTGCCTAAGTCCCACTGATCACCAAGTTCAACAACCTCCTACTTCCAAGCACTAACAAATCAATCGCTAACAAGTCAAAGCAATCCTGGAACTGACCAAACCAACTGAAACTGAAGACCTTGTAACTTGTCAAGCAGTTGTTGCCGTACTCTCTGGCGTGTTACCATTATGCTCATGCCACGCCTGCACTGCTCTTCTTGGAGCATCTGCTGAAGTGCTTGCCCTACATAAAAACAGGGTCTAGAGGGTATGTTTTACCTATTTGACTTTTCATTTGTGCGATCATCTTGGTTGATATCAGATTTGGGAATATGTTCCAGACCACCTATGGACCATTGCTTAGCTCCTGTTTTTAGCCAACCTGTTCTCCTGGGCATCGTTTGGGTTAGACTTGTAAATTATCTATATAGTTTGTTATTACACTTCCTACGCAATTGAATGTACTAGTTTCTAATGCTGCGATAGTCAATGAACCTGCATTTGTTTATGGTTTCAGTGGCTTAACGTTTTACTGTTATATTTGAATCAAGAGCATCAATTGTCGTGGATGATTTTTTTCCTGCGTACATAACCAATTAACTAATTTTCCTTTTGCAGATCAACTTATGCTAAAACTATACGTGACTCAAAGCATGCCCGAGAGAGGGAGTTCTTAAAAGCGGTATGATAAATCTGAACTTCACTGCAGTGTATAGATTTGTAGATTTTCATTGCATGTGTAGCAGCCGATGCTTTTCCAATGGTGCACTACTCTATTTTCTAGGTTTTGGATTGTATGTGCTTAAGATTATTTGGGCACAACACAGTTCACGAAATGTGTCTGTTTTTTTTTTCCTGACGTTTTGGTCCAAGAAGATGCATTCTGACTGTATTAAGCCAAAATCTTGTGAAGTGTACACAGTTGATTTTGCTTCCAAGGCATAACTGAGTATTTGTTTCCTCTAGGTACATAAATGTGTTTCTGGTGGAGGTAAAGTTCTAATTCCAACGTTTGCTCTGGGAAGAGCTCAGGTATTCATCTCTCTTAATTCTACTTTATGAGGCAAAGTGATGATTAAGTGTGATAACTATTATATGACTTAATGAGCAAGTTTCCCTGTGAAGTACCATCCAGAAGGCACACTGTTCAAAGTTTTCATAATTTGAGTATCCATTTATGACGCCTGTATTTCAGGAACTATGCATGTTACTGGATGACTATTGGGAGAGGATGGACTTGAAAGTTCCTATTTATTTTTCAGCTGGTATGTGTGGTTTCTTGAACATTGTTCTTGTACTTTTCTGCTGCATGTGAAGTTTTACTTGTTGATTTGTGCTATAGGTTTAACCATTCAAGCTAACGTGTACTACAAAATGTTGATTGGATGGACTAGCCAAAAGATCAAGGACAGCCATGCAGTGCATAACCCATTTGACTTCAAGCATGGTATGGTTCAGTTCTTCAAAAGTTAATTGTCCAATCCTACTTTGAGTGAAGATGAAGTGCATATGATTGAGTTCAAAATCTAAATATTAATTAGAATTTTAACTAAGTAACTATCCCTCCAATTTATCCTCTTTTTTTTGCCATATTTTGTAACTGTATGACACCAATTGTTTTTTTATATTTCTTTAATGAAAGATTTGTTTATTTAATCATAATATTGATAATAATTGTTGCTATTTCACTTTTTATGTAGTAACCACAATTGAGATATGAGGTGTTCTGTCTTTTATTTGCAAATATTCAAATAACAGAGTATTTTTCACATTTCAGTTTGGCACTTTGAGCGTTCCTTCATCAACAACCCTGGTCCCTGTGTACTTTTTGCAACACCTGGTATGATTAGTGGGGGATTTTCTCTTGAGGCATTTAAGAAATGGGCACCATCAGAGAAGAATCTGATTACACTTCCAGGGTATACTCCTTACCTTTCTTGTTTATTCCATTTTGTCCAATCTTTTAAATCACTCGTATTCATATAGGCAAGCTTTACCAAACCATTTATTCTACAGTTATTCTGATGCCGCCTTTCTATTTTTCCCGCACAGATATTGTGTTTCTGGAACCATTGGTCATAAGTTAATGTGTGGGAAACCTACAAGGATTGATTACAAGGACACTCATATTGATGTCAGATGTCAGGTTGATTTTTATCTCATTTCATATTTTGCAAAAAACTGGTACAAATTTAAATAGTAATGACAAGAACATGGTCAACCAGAAGGAAGCCTTGTAAATCACTAGTGTTATCTTTACCATATGCTTATATATTGTTGAAGTCTGGCTTTTAAATTCAATCCATATCAACTAGTTCTTCGGGCGCGCCCATGCGCGCGGGCCACTGGCCACACGTATTTTTTGCGAAAAAAAAGATATAATCAAGGGGGGCCTGTATTTCGATTTGAGAAAAATCTGAGGAGGTTTTCGAAAAAATCGCTGAGAGTGTCTCTGGAGTGCGGGTTGTTTTTTGATAAAAGGAAGGGTTTTTTTGCAAAAAATCCGGAGCTCATCCGTTCGGATCATGGGTTGATTTGAAAATTATCTGAGGTGTTATTTGCAAAATATTCTGAGAGGGCCTCTGGAGCGCGGGTTGATTTCCCAAAAACATAAGGGGTTTTTCGTAAAATGACCGCGCCTCGCCCGATCTGGCCCGTCGATGCGGCCGATCGAACGGCCGGCGACGTGGCGCGCCGTGTGGGCAGCCTGGCCACACGATTAAATTCTACTCACTAAAGGTTGCTTGCTCAAGGCCCTTAGTTGTCTAGTGTGGTTGGCTGGTTGTGGTCGTTTTTGTTTCTTTTTATGAGTTTTTTGTGAGTAGTATGTGTTGAGGAGGGGCTTTCCTAGTCTCCTCCCTGTTTTTGTACATTTTGTACTTTATCTTAATGAAATGGCATGGAGTTCTCTGCGTTGTTTGATAAAAAAATGAAAAAAAATACTCATTACTATTCATGAAGCATATATGAATGTTAGCACAATAGCTCTCCACAGGAAACATGTAGTCTAGGAATTGGAGCTTTCTCTAAGGGTGTGTTTGGTTGAGCTGTGGCTGTGGAAAAAAAAGCTCATGGGTTGTGTTGTGAAATGGTGAGAGAAAAGTCATTGTGGGTGTGAGTAGAGAAAATTTCATTGTGGGTACATGAGCTATAGAAAAGCTGAAAGCTATTTAGTTAAACAAGTATAAAATATACCTTCTATCTTTATCTCTCTTGAAACAACTATGGAAGAGCTTTTTATTCCACCAATTTCGAAAAGCAGAAAGCCAAAAGCTAAAAACAGGGTCAAACCAGCTTTCAAAAATATACTACGGAAAAGTAGCTCCTTTTGAAAGAGCAACCTCCAAAAACAGCCCCTTTGGTTGGGCTTTTGGCTTTTGGAACCAAAAGCCAAAGTCAAAGCCAAAAGCCCAACCAAACGGACCCTAAGATTAATCATGATGTTTGAAGTTTCTGACAGAATGCTGCTGTCAGTATCTAATATCTTACATTTCAGTTTTGTCTCTTTTGGCACTCTAGATTTACTTGAACCCTTGCATTTTTTTTTGATCCATTTCTGATATTTTTTGCCCCCTCACACTGAGTTTTTTTTGACCCCTTTATTTTTTTTACCAGATTCATCAACTAGCATTCAGTCCTCATACAGACTCCAAAGGGATTATGGATCTGACAGAATTCCTGTCACCCAAACATGTAATTCTCGTTCATGGTGAAAAGCCTCAGATGGCTTTTCTGAAGGAGAGGATTGAATCTGAACTGGGGATGCCTTGCTATTTCCCAGGGAATAATGAATCCGTCTCCATTCCGACAACCCAGAACCTTAAAATGAGTGCTACAGAAAGGTTCATTACAAGCTGTGCTGTGGAGCAAGGTAAACGTAGCCTGCACAAGCGGAACCTGATTTGTCGTACAGGTTTGTCAGAAGTGATTGGCAGTGATGAGGAGGCGGTGGAGGGCGTTCTTCTGATGGAGAAACACAAGTCTCCGAAAATTCTTTGTGAGGATGAGCTCCTTGAGGTACTGGGCATGGAGCGGCATCTTGTCCAGTTTGAACCAATGGTCTCCAGAATTGTAGCTGCTGTTGAATCGGAGTTGCAGCGGGCTAAGGCAGCGGATTTAGATAGCGATGGGAAATGAATGCAACATTATAAGTGTACATTGCCATAATTTGGCCCATTATTCTTTCACCTTTCTTTCCCGAAAATGTGGGGAATGTCATACACCACTTGAGTATTACCGACAAGCCTTTTAGGGTCCTTCGGACTTGGGAGTTATCACATTATGGGGTGTTTGGGACTGATCCGCTCCTGTTTTCGCAGCTCTGCTCCACGAACTCCATCATGGAGCAGCTTCACCGTGGAATTTGTGGAGCATGTGGTACTGTTTGACACAAAGTCTAGCTTCAGTTCCAGGAATGAGTTGTTTCCATGCAAATGGCCCATTATGCCCCTGATTGAAATTGCATTTGATATTTTCCGAGAAAAATAGAAAACAAATGATAGAAAATTAGAAGAGGCCATAATTGAAATACAAATAATTGTCCAATAAATTGTAAATGATAGAAAATTAAACAAAGGCCATATTTAAATACAAATAATTGTCCATAGGTAAGCACAACCACTACGAATCGAAGTGTTCCAATAATTCTAGCCCCAAGCAAGAGAGAGCGGTGGCCAACTCATCATGGAATCATCCATAGTAGGAACGTTGGGTTCTGTAGTAGACCTATTTGATGGGGCTACATATATTGTTATACCTTTTTGGGATTGTTGGGACAAAATTTAGATCGTGATCAAACCGAGCAAAGTCAAGTCGACACCATCATGCTCACGAATGAAGTTATGAAGCACCATAGTAGCCACAACAATCATTTTTGCTTGCGGGTTTGGAGGCATCTTGTAGAGAATTTGCCACTTTATTCTAGAAAGTCTAAATGATCTCTCAATAACATTATATAGAAGAGTGGATGCAATTGAACCTTTCTTTAGGTCGGTTCCGTTCCTTTATGTCATTTGGGAATATGATACCTCTCACCCTTATAAGGACAAAGATAGGCAAGTAGTAAAATCATTCTTTTAACTTATCCCACTTTTTCTTTATTTGCGTCTTCGACAACTTGATTCCGGTAAGCTGGAAGAACCTATCGGATACTACGGTATAACCTACACAGTTCAAATGCGTGTTCGAACGATTCCCCTTCCTAACTTCTTCAGCCATCAACTCACAAGCAATTGCCACATTTGAATCAGTCCATTCCATTTGATCACTCTGATCATATGTTACAATAATACGTTCAAGCATTGCAGACAATCTACTGTGACAGAATTTCTATTTTCTGAATATATGTAAGGATTGTACAATCAACAATCAACACAAGCAATCAACGCAGGCAAATCAATACCTGCTCGTCCCTCTGCTTTGCTGGTGCTGCCCGCTTCCTTCCAGTGCCCACCGTGGCGCTTGGTCGGCTCGTAGCAACGCCTTGGCCTCCATTGCCCTGTCCGCCAGTGGCTTGCCCGTCACCGCAAGGGCCTGTGGGCGCGCCATAGGAGACCGAAGGCGGGGGCGCGCCGTAGGGGGCCGAAGGTGAGGGCGCGCCGTAGGAGGCCGGACCTGGGGGTCACGCCGTATGGGGCCAGAGCCGAGGACGCGCTGAAGGGGGGCGGAGCCAGGGGCGCGCCGTAGGGGGCCGGCGGTGCCATGGCTGGAGGAGGACGAGGGAGCCCGACTCTGGGCGCCGATGTAGGATGCTCGTAGTTGGGGAACATGTGCTACCCAAACACGAGCTCATCCGGAATATGGCCATCGTCTTGGGGCTCCGAGCCATCCATGACGTCGGCGCTGGAGCCCTGGAAGAGGAGCGGCAGGGGTAGGGATGAAGAGCGGCGGCGGTGGAAGAAGACCGGCGGCGCAGGGAAGAAACGCGACGCGTGCGTACGGGAGTCAGGAGGGAGTCGAATAGATGGGAATGTGATTAATAAATGACAATGTGTAATTATCCCCAACTTCACGTGGGAGTACAAAACTCCAAAAAGTAAATTATCACTTGAGTTAGTCCAAAAAAGGTGGAGTTGGCTCTAAACTCTATATTTTTTTTAGCGTTGTTCCTGGAGCCAGAGGTGTTTGGCAACGCGGAGCTGAAAAATAGGAGTGGAGCAGTCCCAAACACCCGCTATATCTAGACTAGAGAGCAGATACCAAATTTGGTATCTCCGTAGGTATGATTTTCTTGTGCCCTTTAAGGCAAATCTCAGTGGGAGTTCCATCAGAGTTTTATTTGTATTTAACGAGCTGCCACATAAGCTTTTTTGATGATGTGGCAAGGGTGGAAATAACCCTTGATGGGTTGAGGATCCCGTTCTTTTTCTGAGTGGTTCAGTATATCCGACTAGCAGAACTGACCTCCCTCGACACAACTACCTGGTGCCTTATTAAAAATTTGGGTTGGCAAGGGGTCGAGCGCTGGCTCCACCTCCAAGATGAAGGGCCCACCATCAACCTTCATACAAGTGAGGATGTGTATAGGGTATGCCATGACTTGCCATGTAGCCACCATGTGCAAAATGGGCGGTGACACCAACAACTGTGGACGATTATTGTGTCACTACTCCACCAATCTAGGCATGGGCAGATTCTAACTACTCCACCAATCTAGGCGTGGGCGGACTATCACTACTCCACCAATCTTGGCACGAGCAAACCGTCATCACTTCACCAATCAGGCAGTGGGTGAACCATTGTGGCACACCCCTCCTCCTGTCATCGGATCTGATGAGAGGTGGGCCTCGTACACATCTCCCCTGCATAATGGAACGACAGTAGTGGGGGTAGGTGGTGCCAACAAAGGGCCCCATCCCTTCTATATATAAAAGCGAGGCAAAGGACCCGTCTCTTGGTTATGACCCCTACTTCACACATGTTCTCTCACACGCACTTCTCCTGTTTATAACTTCTACTGTAAAATTTGAGCCCTCATTCTTCAATGTGGGAAAAGACCACATTGCCCCTTAGTAATTAGGATGGAGAGAGTATGTAAGGAAAATGGATCATCGTCCCATTTAATTTGGATTTTGGTGTTTGGTGATCAACATTACTAAGTTGGACTAATATGTTTGCAAGTATTTGTTTTGTAGTCTAATATGATACATAGCGAACTTAGATTTATCCGGAGCAAGAAGAATTTGATTGTCACCAAAAAGATAACCTTAGAAGATGTGTTGACATTCTAGAAGAGGAGAGAAGAATCCAAGACGACGCAACAAGGAACCAAGCCCGGACGATTGGATAATGAAGAAAGGAAGGAAACCAGGGCTGTACAGGCGTCGGACCACAAACAGGCACGAGTTGGACCATTATTGGTCTAGTCCGACTCATAGTAACATCCAGCAGCGGCTTCAGGCAAGGAGTCGGACTCTGGAACTTGGTGGCGTAGGACCAATAGCAATCTAGTCCGAGCATGCCACGTGACCAGTAGCATAGCACGAACAGGCAAAGGGGCTTATTAGCGTCCGGGCAGAAGTGTGCGTTCGGACGCTTGCAACGCGCCCGCCGCTCAGCCCAGCGTGTGCTCGCCCATGCGGCCCACGTGTCGCACTCGCCCCTGCACACTCACGAACATGCGGCCAAACGCCTAGTGGAGCGCACCTCCCTCGGCTGTTAGCTGGGCCCGCCAGCGCGCTGCGAACACGGATCGATAGAAAACGGCAACGCTCCAGCGCCCCTACCTCTTGACGGGTCCCACGTCTGGTGTTTCCCACGCGCTCCTTCTGGTTGCCCCCACTCACGGACGCACATCGAAGCATACATGCCCACCCTGCTGCTCGCCGCGGCCTGCTCACCCTGTTGTTGCTTGCTCGCACCCTGCTGCTGCTCGTCTGCGCCTTGTTGCTCACTCTCGCCATGCTGCGCACCTACATCTGCTCGCCCTGTTGTGCCCCTCTGTGCCCGCCCGCCCGCCTACGCCTCATGAAACACTTGTAACATGGAGGACTTGCTGCAACATACGTCTAAAACAGATGAAACAATTGGAACACATGCTTACAATATATGTGTGTAGCCACTGCACATATGCAACATTTAGCAAAAACACTTGCAACATATGTCTGAAAACAACTGAAACATTTAAAACACACACTTGCAACATGCTTCTGAAACACTTAAAAAACCACCTAAAAACACTTAAACCTTTGCAAACATACGCAACATCCATATAAAACACATGCAACATATGTGTGAAACATATGCAATATCCAGATAAACACACTTGCAACATACAACCGAAAACACAGATGAAACATTGGTAACAGACCTTTGTAGCATACGTGTACAACCATTGTAATATATGCAATATCCCGATCTACTTTTGCAACATCCATCTGAAACACTTGCAACATACCTCTGAAAACATCTGAAACACTTGAAACATGCACTTGCAACATGCGCTTCCAGCAAAACCTGACAGCCGAGCAAGAGGAGCACTGCACAGCGGGATCCGACTTTGCGGTCGTGGTGAAAAAGGAGGATGACAGCGGGGCGTGCATCGGAACATGTATCAGCTATCAGGGTGGGGCGATGACAACGCGGCGTGGAAGGGGGTTGGACAGGAGATGGTGCAATAATACAAGTTTAGGGAGATAAGTGGACAATTTGCATGTGCCGAGGCAGAAAGAGAAGTTTAGAAAGCCGAGTATGAAATTTGTAAGTATTGGGACTAGAATGAGAACACTCGGGATAAGTTTAGGGTGGAGTTAAGTGTGCTATTTGTAAGTTCCTTGACCAGGATTAAAAAATCGAGACAAGTTCAAGAACGTACCGCTATTGAAATTTACTCATTAGATTAAATGTGTGCTCCTTTTATTTGAGTCACCTTTCACGCATGAGGTAGTGTTGTGGTTTATTATCAAATGATGATGAACTAGTCGTTTCTGTATAAATAACACCCACCAACGTCAGATGAAGACTCAAGAGTCAAGAGCAAAGGTCTTTAAACCGCTGCAGGTTTGCTGACGTGCAAGATGTTAGGCCATGCACGGACGGGTCAGCTCGAGTTTCAATAGGTCTAGCAGTCAAGATACGGTACAGGAACACTGCACTCCTGCTGAGCGCGTCGTCTAACTTATGTTGTACATTCCTTATAG